ACAATGTCTGCATCTCCGCTTCTTTCAGTTCAATAAACAGTGAATCTCATCTGACATCATCAACACCTTTTTAACTGTGAGATTTTTTTCTTCTGCAATAGACTACTGAATAAACACTGCAGACTGGTCCTCAATGCATCTGCGTTGACTATCTAATTTGTGCCAGATTTATCTCAACTTTATCCCTCTTTTTTTTTTTTTTTACTGTATAAAAGATTCACAAAGCATACCACAGTATCCCAGCTTCTTTAACATATTCTGTGAATAAGAGGAGAGTCTATCACTGACTAAAGCTGCAGCACTTTTGCTTTTCGCTAATTAGATCATGTCTTTTTGAAATGCACATTATTATTATTTTTATGTCCCCCAGCACATCCAGGATTTTTGTTCATCAGAGCCCTGATTGTTCTGTGAAGATAAGCCTCTTTTAAACCAGTTAAAAGGGGGGGAATAAAAAGGATCTTTGGTGTCTGGATGGGTTTGCAACACAGCTTGACAGAGCTAGTTATGTAACTGTCATGGAGCTTAGATGTGATACAGAGGAAAAATAAGGTTTTTCCAAATTTGAAGGTCAACCGTGTATCGTGTACTGATGAAATAAAAAAAAATTCTGTTAATAAAAATATAATTTTTACAGCAATTCCGGGTGCGTCTGATTAGAGAGACATACAAAATGTGCAATGTTGAGGGGCTCCAGAAACAGAGGTGGGAATCACTACCCATTTTGTGCATAGGCAACATTTCTACATAGAGGTCCCTGGCCTGTGCTGAAGCTATGTTTCTATACATGGTTGCTTGCGATTTGCATATTGGTCTCAACAATGCATGAAAGAGACAGGAGGAAAAGAGAGATATAAAAAGAGAAGTCTGGGGATGTTCCCACTGTGCGGAGATAAAAGGCATCTCATATCATCTTTTTTTTATACTTGCACCATTTGTTCCATTACAGGCAAGCAGACTGTCGAATGAGATCTGGCAGATTCAGCCTTTGAGGTGCTGCGCTGTGCTCTCATTATGGACAATCTAAGCACTGGGCTTCTTTGAAGTCCGTGAGCTGAGAATGAAATTAATGCAATGGAGATGACGCAGCTACTTCATTCAAACATTCACAGCATCTGAGCAGAGGACTGATATACTGCCCTGTACCATCATCTGTTTTTCATGTGGAAAAAGGCAATATGACAAAAACAGCAACAGGAAGAAATCATTTTTAGTTCAAAAACACATTCTGCCTCTGCAGCTCAAAATGATCTCCTCCTTAATTAAAATATTACCCTCCTTGATTACGTTGCAATTTACTGCAGTATAGACGATACAGAACGTACTCGTATTGATGGTTGCGATTATTTTGATTTTATGTAACATTCTTGTTTTGCAGAAGTATATTGTTTATTGTTGTTATCTTATTATTTTAGATTGATATATTTCAGAAATTGCAGCTGTACCAATCATGTATCACAATTCTGTTTCTCACATTATCACATTGATACTTCAGATCCTTCCGTTTGCTTCATATTATTAAGCGGTTTCAGTTTAACCACTGTCTGTTTTGCTGTCTGCCTTGTTTGTCTCCATAGTAACTCAATGACCACACCCCTACCTTGTTTGTTCCCATAGTAACTCATTGGTCCAGTCGTTCTCCTGTGTTTATTTATAAAGCCCTTGTGGTTTTCTTGTGCTTTGTCAGTTGTTGAATGTAATGGATGTCTGTATACCTGTGTTTCTGTTCTTTGTTCCTTGTGTTTTTGATTTGTTTGTTCCAGTTTATTTCATTAAATATCCTGCGCTTAGATCCATGTCCCTGCCTGCCTTCACTTGCTCCTCAACATTACAACAGTTTTTCTAGCTGCAGTTTCCCAGTTTCAAAGCTATCTGGCTATCTTCCTTTCATCGGCAATACTTTGTTGAGCCATGGGAATGAGTGTTATCAGTATGTTTCCTCAAGATAAATGTCATCAAACACTTTGAGCTGGTGCTGTCTGACGGCAAGTCATGGGAGCCGTTAGGGTGGTGCCTTATTTGTAAACACAGACAGTAATGGTCCTTGACTTTGACTTTGCTGAGTATGCTAAATTAGGGTGTTTTTACAGCAATTTGCCAGCAGAAAAAAGACAGACTGTTGCTTAGGGGCTTCATCTAATGCGGTTCGTAATGAATACAAAATTGAAATGTGTGGACCACTGTAAGCATAATTTGGGAGTAGTCCATCAGAAAAGTGCCCTGTCTGTAAGGAATAGGCTCAGTATTTATGAAACACTGCAGGTGTAGGTACCATGATAATGGTAGTGATACCATCAGTAAGTGAGAAATAAGGAAGGAAGTGTTGTGTCAGAAAAGTGCAAGTAGGTTACCTCACTCTCATCTTTAACTTTTTTAAAAGGGTGGTCTTTAAAGGTGCAAAACGTAAGATCATTGTCAAAACACATCTTCTTTCGTTTTCATGTAAACCACACCCCTACCCCAAATGTTTTTTGCATCAATTGTTTTGTTTTTTCTTTTCTACAAGTCCAGTCGTGCAGGAGGCTGTGACACTCGGCCTGAAATTGTCGCATTGGGTGCTCTGCCCATGTCAGTGTGTCTGTGATTGTTCCTGGTAGTGTGAGTGTGTGTATCAGTGTTACCTGGCCCAGGGGTTGTGTTAGTTGTGACAACAGGTTGCAGATGTTGAGTCAGGTCAGCTGTGTGTATGCGTGCAGTCCTGACCAGTCTTACAGCTGTGTGTATGATGTAAGATCTGCTTGCTTTTGCTCGACAAATGACTGCCTCTTGTGATTCCTCTCTCAGCAGCCACATGCTTTGCCCAGACTGCAGTGTTGGTGAGGGACGTGCAGATTGTACTGCCGTATTTTTTTTTTCATTTGCTCGTGAATCCTTTGATGTTCGGAGGAGAGAAAGATTTTGTTTTCTCCCCTCCCCCTTTACAGAGACCTTTCACAGTAGCCACAGCACACTCCACCTCTCTTTTTGCTTGCTGGTATCTCAGACTGCTGGTAATGTATGTGAACCCATACTTTTAAAAAGAGTACTGTACCGTGGCCCTTTATCGGACATAACGGTCTCTGGAATTCTGTGGCTGCAATGACTGTGTTGGCTGTGGCAGCATTGAGACGTGCCACTTCAGTGTAGCATGAAAAATAATCCTCAAGGAGATATGAATTATTCTCCCAGAAAAACAAGTCTGTGCCTACTTGTTGCCAGTGTCTTTCTGGCATTGGAGTGGACAACAAGGCCTCTCTGAGCTCTACCCAACACTGTCAACATGTGCTGCAGTTTTCCACAAGCTGACTGATGTGCAACGATAGTCCTGGCCACCAGATAAACTGACAGACAGTTCAAATCTCTGGACTTGACAATCCTTTAGTGTCCTTTGTGTAAACTATGGATGATTTCTTGCCTCATGCAGTGTGAAATCACTATTCTTTGGCCCCCGAGGAGCAGGTCTCCAGACACGGAAAGGTTTTCTATGCTTTTTTATGTCATATTTTGTAATATTTGCATTGTTTTAATTCTGTGTTATGATTTTTTTTTCATCCAGTTTTTTGTGGAGGCACTGCCTTCCTTGCCTCATTATCCTTTTCTGCTTCTGTGAAGATGTGCTTCACATGAGCTCTTGATATTGTGTCTGAATTGCGCACCCAACACATGCACAAGTGAATTTTAACAGCTTCAATCGAAACCACAGTTTGTGTGGTGGGAGCTCACCTAGTGTTTTGGTGCTCAGCAGTGGCTTGAGATGCATCTCCATATTATACTTGAGACAGAGGAGGTAAACGTTCACATGCCCATGTCTGCTAGGGCCTCCTTCTCAAACACCTCTTTTTGTGGTTGTGCAGATTTTTCTCGCAAAGTAGATATTTGAGTGACCTCGTATAAGATGCAAGGAGGGGTAAAATCTTGTCCAAGAAGTTAGCTATTCCCATCACTCTCTTCACACCTTCACTGCAGTTGGTTCAGGCATCTCCATAATCTCCCTGACTTTGCATGGATTTGGTGCGACCCTGTCTGCTGTGATGCGGTCCCATAAGCATAATGTTGTCCATAGCATACACACATTACTTGTTTATCGTCAAGCCCTCATCTTCACATTAAAATCTGTGTCATGGGATGCTGAAGTTAACAAAATCCCAAATGGTAGATTGTTGAATTCACATCTACCAAATAGGGTAATGAACGTCATTTAGAGTGAGCTTTCCTCTGACAAAGGAATTTGCCAGAATACTGAGGTGGCATACCTCATATATTGTGAATACCTTGGCTGTTGCAACTATTGTGAGTGCCTGTTCTGCAGCTAGGAGGATATGTCTTTCTTGCAACGCCCACTTATTTAGACGAGTCAAATCAATGCACAGCTGGATCCTGTCTTGAACCTGGGTCACCATGCTGATACACCACAGGGTGGGTTGAGTCATTTTGGAAATCACTCCCATGTCCTCCATGCATTTCAGCTACACTCACACCGTGGCGTTTTGATGTCCTTCTGTTGTGTTTCCGTGTGGAATCAGTGTTAGGGTGTCTATTGTGAGGCAACCTAATAGTGAAGACCTAATAGTTTATTCTGTATGCTTAATTGACCTTTAAATTAACATTCAGTCTATAATTTTCTGGCCCAAAACAGCCTGACAGCTGAAGAGCTCTGTGATTTTTAGTGGAAAAGCTGCTGCTTGGAATTGCTGTAACAGCAGCCCCTGTGTCCAACAGTTTTTCCCCATTCAGTCAAAGGTACCCTACCAGTCAAACATTTGGGCACACTTGACTGACTTTGTTTCTTGTGATCTTAAAATCCCTTTGATTTAAAGCAAAGCATTGTGACTCAGTACTGTTGTTCAGCATCAGGATACACCTTGGTTAATAGAATGCCCAGACTGTGCTGGGCTGTAATCTATAGACAGAGTAGATGGGTATTAAAGAAAGTTTTGAAGGATGTTTTTAATGAAAACTTAAATAATGGGTGAGTAGGTGTGTGCATTTGTTTATAATATGAAATTTTGTTTTGTCCCCAGGAGATTATGTGGTTCTGACCGTCTTCTTTGACTTAAGCAGAAGGATGGGTTATTTCACCATCCAGACATATATCCCCTGTACCTTGATCGTTGTTCTGTCCTGGGTTTCATTCTGGATCAACAAGGATGCAGTGCCAGCCAGAACTTCTTTGGGTAAGACCTTCTGTTTACATTCTACCTGATAAATCAGCTTTGTGTTGTGACACTATCCCTATTTTCTTAAACAATCTTTTTATTATCTAAACATCCTTAAAACAAATTTACTTGAGAATAAAAATTTAAAATTTAAAAACAATAATTAAGAGAATTTATCTTGAATTTATTTTTCTTACTCCAATAGCAAATTGTTTATCTTGTCTTACCTATAAACACCACTTGTATTCAGCAGCTAATCTTTCCTGCAGTGACTCCTGACCTCTGTGTTTTACGCTTGATTGTAATGTCTGGCCTAAGAATTCTGTCCATGAGATGCTAAGGTGGTGGGTGTGGGTGTCCTGAAGATCCCCAAAGAATGCATCACAAATGGGTGTAATCAAAAGTGAAGTCTTGTATTTGAACAGAGGCAATAAGGTGACGCACCATTACTCCAGGGTTAATTTTAAATTGCTGCTGTATGAGATTAATACAACTGAGACCACATCTGTGCTGTGGCACTAGACCCACTTGGCTACATCTTTTTGAAGCTGAGCAATGAGCTGTTCAAGGACCACCAGATCGGCAGGTGTCACAGATTTGCTGGATCATCACAAATGCCCGACTGTTTTTCCCCAGCTCGACGGACAGAACATTGCTGCCGTTGCTCTAGTGTGTGGACCACACAGGATGACCCGCTTAAGGTTCGTAATGCAGGAAGTTCTGCACAGGTAGCTGTTGAGATGCTACTTGGGCTTGATTCAAGAGGGCCTGATGTTGGGTTTGATGGAGTCTGGCTAGTGAATTGTCCATCTCAGCAAGGGGCGAGGACTCCATGGCAAAGAACTTTTCCTCCCGGGTTTCGACTCCACTGTAGCAAGTTTGGAGTTGTGGGAAGGAGAAGGTCTGAGGCCCAGGGAGTGGAGGCGTCATCCTCCGATTGTGAGCCTGAAATTGTACAATAGCAGAAATTCGGCAAAGCAGACGTGGATCTGTTTGTTCACTCAAGATGACTCAGTGTCCCATTTGGTTTTCTCATCCAGCACAGCTGGGCTCAGATGCCCTAACACAGGAGTCGCCCAAGGCCAAGTTGTATGCCTTTACGCCAGTGAGCCTCCATCCTGAAGACTTTTTAGAAGAGTCCAGCAGGATAAGGTGTGCCTCCTGCTGGTGGTTCCGTTTTGGCCATCTCAAGTCTGGTTCTCAGATCTAGTGTCAATTCTGGAGGAACCTCTATAGCAGGATTCCTCAAATCTTGCCCTGGAGGGCCAATGCGCTGCAGAGTTTAGCTCCAACCCTGATCAAACTCACTTATCTGTGATTTTCTAATGATCCTGAAGACATTGATTAGCATGCTCCCATGTTTGATTAGTGTTAGAGCTAAACTCTGCTGGAAAGTGGATCTCGTGGGCCAGATGTCCTGCTCTATAGCTTCCCTTCAGGAAAGATCTGCTTTCTCTGGCCTAAGGCATGTTTTGGCATCCTCAGCCAAAGATATGGAGGCTTTGGGTTTGGCCCTATTCTGACTCTTAAGTGATTATTGCTTTTGGCCTTGTCGTTGTTCAGTGGGAATTAAAAGCCAAACCGCAACCATGCACTAGCCATGTAAAAGATAAATATCACAGATATAACTTCAGTAGTCCATATGCAACAGACATTGCAATCTCCATGTTCTTATTTCAGTATTATTATTATTATTATTGCAACCTGCCTCAAGAGCTGCTGAAACAGTTCTACTCCGCCATCATTGAATCCACCCTCTGCACTTCAGTAACTGTCTGGTTCAGCTCAGCTACCAAATCTGACCTCAGAAGACTACAGAGGGTAGTCCGGACTGCTGAGCGAATCATTGGTACAACCCTCCCTTCTCTCCAAGAACTGTACTTATCCAGAGTGAGCAAAAGGGCTGGCAGAATCACTCTGGACCCCTCACATCCAGCACACTCCCTCTTTGAACTGTTGCCATCTGGTCGAACTTTGTTCCCCAGGAATCACAACTGTGCTTACCATGACCACTTTGAGTACCATTGCTAGGAAGTCCTTACCCAAAGTGTCGTACGTCACAGCTATGGATCTCTTCGTATCGGTGTGCTTCATCTTTGTTTTCGCCGCTCTGATTGAGTACGGAACGCTCCACTACTTTGTGAGCAACCGCAAGCCCAGCAAAAACAAAGACAAGAGGAAGAAAAATCCTGTGAGTACACTTCCTAAGACAATTCACATTATCACCTACCAATACAACAATATTATAAAGTGTATTTACTTCTAGTATTTTTCTGATTATAAAGATTGGCCTATTTGAGAACTGTAATTGTTTTTTGTTGGTTTTTTAGGGTCAGGGATTAGTTGCTTACTTTTAAGTCTACCCGAGGTTGAGTACTCCAAATTATTCCAAATAATAGCACTCTTCCACAAGTTAGTAAGCTGCCTTGGCAGCATTTCTAGGCTTGGTCTGCTCCCAATGTGAAGATGGTACCTTGCTTTGGTGAAATTCTAAGGCAGCATCAATCCCAGACAGTATTCTTGTGAGTTCAGTGTAAAGAAAAAAGGTAGTGTATGTATTTATAAATGAACCAGTCTAAAACAAACTTTCATGTAAAAGTCTATTTAAATGCATAAAATGAGTTTTGTAGTGAAATAAACCTGCCTAAAAAGCTGCCAGAAAGTTTCCAGCAGGCATGTGAATTACGTGTGCTTACTACAGTTTTGTGTTGTTAGCTTAGCAATTAAGGCTTTATTGGTAACTCTGCAGGAATCCACTTTGAGTGCTTCATGTGAGGAAAGCTATTTGTGATGCACCTAAGTGATCGTTAGCTGTTGTCCATGAAGAGCGTTTCTAATCAGTCACTAATGAGTTTCCATTACGCCTATGTAGGCAGTGACAGCTCACTAGGTTTTGGAACATAATGTGCAACTGTGCATGGTAGAACCTTTTTTGACCACCTCTGTCAAACAGTGTCACTGAGCAGTGATGTCCTTAATCTGAATCATTTCAGCAGCAGGTTTGAAGTGCAGCCTTAGATTTTCATCTCAGCAGGGCGCTCATATCCGTAGCTTGAGGAGGGCTGATCTCAGAAAATGGGGTCGTTCCACTTTCAGATGATTAAAGGGGTGCCAGAAATGTCTTATTTGATTTTAGAGTTTAAAATGTCAGGCAGATTAATGAGTACTGATTCTCAAGCCACATTCGACAGTTCGGTTCCCAGTCAAAGGCACGCTCTGAAGTAAAACTCTTCAAATAAAACACCAAGAAGCTTTTGCTGAAGAAGCGTTTTGATCTCTGCAGAGTTGAAGAGTACCAGTCTCCTCCTTAGATGGTTATTTTGTTCTTTGGTAATGATTGTTTGCTACACACATGCTGATTTGTATTTGAAGTATATAAGAAATATCAGTTTCCAAGCTCTAAAATCTGACTGGATGAGCCACGTTCAAAACCATGCCTAATAGTTTGTACTATACATGATTGTATTTTTGAATGCACTTTGCAGATATGTTCTCCTTAGGAATGAGCAATCTGTATTTTACAACATGCAGTGAACCTGTTAATATATACTGCCTTACACACCCTTCCTCTGTGTCTATGTATATGTGTCTGGTTGCAGTAATGTGTTCTCTTTCCACTTTCAGAGTCTTTTTTGCATTATACTGTATGTCTGTCTTATGTTGTTGGTTTGTTTGTATGTGTTTGTTTTCTTCTTTTCAATTTCTAATATTTTTTTGTTTCCTGTGTGGACAAAAGCTCCTGCGGCTCTTTTCCTCAAAGGTATATTGCTCATGTAAAGTTCACTAATCATGCATGTTTCTGCATTCTGTGCAACCACACTGCTCTTGTGTCTGGTCTTTAGATTCAATGCACTAACATCTAGTCAGTTTAGCACTGAAGCTCCTGAGCTGTGAAAGACAGTGGGACACACTCGCCAGCACACAGACTCTTATTTTACTTTAATGCAAATAAAACAACAGCAATGGCTGAAATACTTGCATCATTCTTTTAACTAAAAAGTGGCCGCCTTCCTCCTTCTCTGTGTGTTTGTATATGAGGCTTTAAACCTGACAGAAATAGTCAGCAGAGCCTTAACAGCTTGAAATAGACAACCATACTGATTACCTTAATCCCAATTAAAGAGCATGAGCCTGATTGGCAGATTTAGTCGTAGATATCTTTCAAAAGTCAATGTGCATGAGGGCACAGGCCTACATTTAGCTTCTATTAAGGATTAAAAGATAGTTCTCAAGAATTCGGAAAAGAGGGAATTAGATAAATTGCAATTTAGCATACCAGACTATACACTCTTAAAAAATGCTGGATTGTTTCAACCAAACTTTGGGTCAAATTTGAACTAACCCAAGTTTTGGGTTAAAAATTTAATGTAAAAATTTAACCCAACGGTTGGGTTAGTCCATATTTGACCCAAAGTTGAGTTGAAACAACCCAGCATTTTTTAGTGTATCAGTGGTTCTCGACTAGTTTTGCTTCAGGACCTAAATTTTACAATGGGTCTGATTCACTAATAATGTGACAAATTTTTCATATTTTTACACAAATGACATCTAAAATGTTGCCAAATTCACTACATGTGAGTGCGCACATAAATTTGTTCTTAACCTTGTTCTGTTAATGAATTTGCAGTAGACTATTCTAAATAAGTGACGGTTATTTTGCATAAAACCCCCCCAAAAAAGGGTTTTGTATCAGACGTACAACCTATTTTTGGGTCACAGCCCACCAGTTGAGAACCACAGTTAAAAAAATAAATAAAATCATGAATGTAGATAAATAATGTAAGACAGAAGAGGCGCTTTCTCTTTGAAGGTTGTCGTATTTCATCCGGTTAAAGCGGCAAATTCCACTGTATTTGTTTCTTTACACATAGCAGGCTATTTGTGCTCTTGTGCTTTCCAAACGCTTCTGTGAAACCCTTTGAGAAGCGAGTCACATGACCCGTTTCCGCACAGCCTCAGGTGGCTCTGTCCTAAATGCTACATAATGTGCACCCAGAGAAGCCAGGCGTGAACAGCTGGTTGTGCTTCGTTTTTCAAAGGGATTTGAAGCCCCCTTCCAGTGCTGGGCAAAATGATTGCGAATCCAGAAATGTGGATATGTCCCAATAATCCGATTTCTCTTGGCTTTGATGGGAAAAATTTACATGCAGGTCTCGTAATCAGTGTTGGGGGGTAACGCATTACAAGTAACGCGAGTTACGTAATCAGATTACTTTTTTAAGTAACTAGTAAAGTAACGCATTACTTTTTAATTTACAAGAGAATATCTGAGTTACTTTTTCAAATAAGTAACCAAGTTATTTTATTTTCCAATTTATTGATTGACAGCTCTCCTGTCGCCATGGTGACAGAAATCAGATGTTACTGTAGTTCTAAAATAAATATGAATATGCATTAATTCATCTCACTCACAAAAAAAACAGATTCAGTATTCCTCAAAATGAATAAAAATAATGCAGCTCAGAATATGACGCAAACCTGCAATAATTAAATGTTAAACAACACAAATATGCTTTATGTATTTAATCCCATTCTATTAGCTTCTGAGCTTCGATGATCCAGTTCAAGCGTACTAATAAGCACTAATTACTCTAGACAAACATCTGTGAGTCTTATTTTATTGCTGAAGTGGGTTGAAATGTCTTCTTCTGCATTCTACTGTACGGACGTAAGTTTACTTTCCCTTCAGCCTGAGGCTTATTCATTTCACTTTTGGTATAAAATATTAAAATGGTAAAAAAATATAAAAATTTATTTTAAAAATAAACAAGCAAGCCCTGTCCAGATTTAAAAAGTAACGCAAAAGTAACATAACGCATTACTTTCCATAAAAAGTAACTAAGTGACGTAATTAGTTACTTTTTTATGGACTAACGCAATATTGTAATGCATTACTTTTAAAAAATAACTTTCCCCAACACTGCTCGTAACATTTGTTAACAAACTTATATTTTAGTACTGTTACTGGCCAAGATACAAGACTGAAAGTATATTAATACCTAATTGTTTAGCTGATCTGTGTTGACACATAGTACCATGTTAGACAGAGCCATGTGGTCTCACGTGGGAAACATTGCTGTAGTGACTTTCTAGGAAGTTAATGATGCAGTTATGCTTTATTATTTTTGCATGATACATTTTCTAGTGTAAAATAATCATTGCACAACAAAGACAGATAAATGTGCAATGAACAGCCATAATACATATGATATATATTTTAAGTATTAAAGGAAGGAAGAAAAAGCAAGAAATCTGTTTTACAGCCAACTACTGCAGTTGCACATCTTTTAATGCATTCTACCTGCAATATTAGGTGCAAAGTATCCACTGACAGACGTTTGAGCGCAGCCCCTAACAGCTGGTCGAGCTGTATTTGATGGGACTCTTGCTGATTATGTGTTCTGTTCTAAAAGCAGGCCCCCACTGTGGACATTCGCCCGCGCTCAGCCACCGCCATCCAGATGAACAACGCCACCCACATGCAGGAGCGGGACGAGGAATACGGCTACGAGTGTCTGGATGGGAAGGACTGCTCCAGCTTCTTCTGCTGCTTTGAGGACTGTCGCTCAGGAGCGTGGCGGCACGGCCGTTTGCACATCCGTGTCACTAAGATAGACTCTTACGCACGCATTTTCTTTCCTACTGCATTTGGTCTATTCAACGTAGTTTACTGGTTTTCCTATCTCTATCTTTAATTAGTTTTTTTGTTTTTTAAATAGGCTGGCCTTATTTTATGTTACAGATTCCAGCAAGACCCTTTCTTGGAAATGTGAACCCACTGAAAAGATTTAAGGTGTATTGTGTTGTTGTTGTTGTTTTTTAAAGCTCATTTTAGGATTTTTTTTTTTTTCGTGCATTTACGTAATATGTGAATTGTTGGTTAGTCTATGTTTACATCTTTTTCTAGAAAGTATATCTTGTGCATAAAGCAAAAGTTGTAGCAAAAAAAAAAAAGTCAGTGAAAACCTGCATCTGTAAGATTATTCCTGAATCGTGTAGAGCGAAAAGCAGAAGACCTGAGTACTGCATGCCTACATGTCCTTTTAGCCCCTAAAGAGCAAGCACTAAACAGATTTTGGGAACCTTCTTCAAATGCATGGCTGTCAGGCCTATATGAGGAAAAAGCAATCAAACAAATACTAACAAATGTGTCAGAGACTTTATTTGTACATGCTCTTATTATTTGTGCATTCTAAAGCGCAAATGTACAAATTGAAGTGTTTGAAATTTCTATGCCACTTGTAACCCTGCAGTTTTTCATGTGTTGGTCACGGCTGGTAAAACGTACGGTCACCTGTACAAATGTTGTAAATATATTAATACTGTATAATGTAGTGATATACATCATATGCATGCACCTTTTAGGCCAAAAATGAGCAAAAGTCTTCTATTGTCATCAATTAAAAAGAGTCAGGAAACGTAACTGGAACAGGCAACATTTTACAACATTTCTTGCCACTATTAGATGTCAGTCATTTATACAGTAAATGCACAATGATATTGTTACATGTATAAATAAGTACTGTATTCAATTTTCACATCATTTTGGGTATCGGTATGAGCCTCCTTTCCATTCTTGGATATATAACTAAATGAGTCCTGCTCCTCTTTCAGTTTTAAGTTGCTGGGGTGAGTATTCTGATACTACATACTCTACTATAGTCATATTTTACCCTATTTTATTATTAGTGTCTATTATTTTATTTTGTTGGAACTAAGATGGTTTAAAACTATCAAACGTTTTCGTTTACCAGCACCGTCTCAAGTTTTCCAGAAACGTGTAACAGAATGTTGTCAAACAAAATGTCTATATGCATTTTAATTTTTTGTTCATGTATTAATTTATGTTGTAATAATAAACTGGGCTAAAAACATAGGAGGAGGGTCGCCATTGCACTCTATGCTATACATTTCAGTTGACAAGCTCTGAGCTTATTTCAGTGAATTTAGTAAATAATCTGTAGATGGATATGTTAATGTGTGTTACTCAGCTTCAGCAAATGACATGTAGGAGGAGGGTCGCCATTGCACTCTATGCTATACATTTCAGTTGACAAGCTCATTTCAGCTTATTTCAGTGAATTTAGTAAATAATCTGTAGATGGATATGTTAATGTGTGTTACTCAGCTTCAGCAAATGACATGCATGCATGTAGTAAATATCTATTTAGAACATTAACATGCATACATGGGAAACATATTACAAACTAACATTAATAAAACGTAACGTAAGCAAACTTTCTATTTTAATGAACCATCAACTTCAGAAATCTCACCCCAGTTTAAGTATATGCTTGTGAGTATATAAATATGTTTGGTGTTGGGCACCGCTGCTCAAGTGTTATCATCGAAAAAATATATAAGTAAAAAACACCAAAACAAATGCAACTAAAACACTGTGGACAACACTGAGACGTGCCAAAGTGTGAGGGTATAATCAGACGTTTAGATCATTTTGTTCTCCGCTGCTGCAGTTAAAATCAATGTTTTTGTTTGTTTTGTTTTTTTGGAAGCAAAAATGACAGATAAGCAAAATATTTCTGGTTACATCAGTAATACATCATCTAGACATGTGTACAGTTTGATTTCCAATCCCTATGCATTACTCTTCCAGCCGAACAAACCAGCATATAGTACGCTTTTGCATTTTGTGGCTATGTATGCATCTTGATATTTTTGCATCATGCACGTGAGCATGGTTAATTTTTGATTAGTTTATACTCGTATTAAAATTAGATGTCATAGGAAAATCCTCAATATCAACTCTACTATCACTCAACTGTTTGCTGTTTGTGTGCCACCTACACTAGAATAATCATATTTGTGGAGCGAAGCTCGATTTGTTTCTTTTTTGAGTAGATATTCTGGATGTTGGTACTGAAAGCCAACAGCCACACCCCAGAGATATCACCTAGCCATGAGTAATGCACTGTTTATTATTTACTGTAGGATGACATGGATGTGGTAGCAATAGAAATTGTGTGAATGTGGATTGATTTAGTGCCAAACTATGAACCATTTTTCATTCTACCATCTAAATAGCTTATTTCAGCAAGCGTCCTGTTTTTACACTCAACGGAAAAGCTTTATCCGATTTATTTCTTGAAAATACTTACAGAAAACGGAAACAGTTATAGAAACCTTGCAAGTCAAGTGCAACCTAAAATGAAGTTAAAGAGATCTTTTATCTGCATTGAAACGCTGTCATGATAAATATGGTTTTGTTTTAATATTAGTACTATTAATGTCAAAAGGCTAATAAAGGCTCATTATAAACTGCCACCATCCCACAACAGGACATTGCTAGAGATTTTCATAGAGCTAACCAGCACTTTTGTTCTCACTATTTCTTTGTTGTTATGCTGTTTTGAGGATTGTTTTTAAATGTAAGATTATTGTTTTCTAACATAAAGGGGGGGGGGGGGGGGGGGGGGGGGGGGGGGGGGGGGGGGGGGGGGGGGGGGGGGGGGGGGGGGGGGGGGGGGGGGGGGGGGGGGGGGGGGGGGGGGGGGGGGGGGGGGGGGGGGGGGGGGGGGGGGGGGGGGGGGGGGGGGGGGGGGGGGGGGGGGGGGGGGGGGGGGGGGGGGGGGGGGGGGGGGGGGGGGGGGGGGGGGGGGGGGGGGGGGGGGGGGGGGGGGGGGGGGGGGGGGGGGGGGGGGGGGGGGGGGGGGGGGGGGGGGGGGGGGGGGGGGGGGGGGGGGGGGGGGGGGGGGGGGGGGGGGGGGGGGGGGGGGGGGGGGGGGGGGGGGGGGGGGGGGGGGGGGGGGGGGGGGGGGGGGGGGGGGGGGGGGGGGGGGGGGGGGGGGGGGGGGGGGGGGGGGGGGGGGGGGGGGGGGGGGGGGGGGGGGGGGGGGGGGGGGGGGGGGGGGGGGGGGGGGGGGGGGGGGGGGGGGGGGGGGGGGGGGGGGGGGGGGGGGGGGGGGGGGGGGGGGGGGGGGGGGGGGGGGGGGGGGGGGGGGGGGGGGGGGGGGGGGGGGGGGGGGGGGGGGGGGGGGGGGGGGGGGGGGGGGGGGGGGGGGGGGGGGGGGGGGGGGGGGGGGGGGGGGGGGGGGGGGGGGGGGGGGGGGGGGGGGGGGGGGGGGGGGGGGGGGGGGGGGGGGGGGGGGGGGGGGGGGGGGGGGGGGGGGGGGGGGGGGGGGGGGGGGGGGGGGGGGGGGGGGGGGGGGGGGGGGGGGGGGGGGGGGGGGGGGGGGGGGGGGGGGGGGGGGGGGGGGGGGGGGGGGGGGGGGGGGGGGGGGGGGGGGGGGGGGGGGGGGGGGGGGGGGGGGGGGGGGGGGGGGGGGGGGGGGGGGGGGGGGGGGGGGGGGGGGGGGGGGGGGGGGGGGGGGGGGGGGGGGGGGGGGGGGGGGGGGGGGGGGGGGGGGGGGGGGGGGGGGGGGGGGGGGGGGGGGGGGGGGGGGGGGGGTCATATTGCAATATCATATTACTACAATTATTTACTACAAACCTTATAATGAAAATGTGTGTGTGCGTGTGTGTGTGTGTGTGAGTGTGTGTGTGTGTGAGTGAGTGAGTGTAAGTGTGTGTGTGTGTTTTAATGAAAGCTTTTCTCCATTTGGTTGCTTACTGACATGCCTCTTACACTTAATCTTTTTCTTAATCAGAATTGTAGTCTTGTTTTCAAGTAAAAAGATGCATTTATTTGAGAAGCAAAACTGTGTTTTATTTAAGATATTTATTATATCTTGATTTTTAACCCTTCTTTTTTTCCATATAAACCTTCATTGAGAATGTTATATTTATGCTTTAAACAAGGAGTTTTAGAGCTTTAAACTGAGTTTTATTACATTATGCAATTTTGTTTCTCAAGTAAATGTATCTTGTATTTTTTTTCAGTGTGAAATCTGATCTAATGTGGTATCTTTTATTCCTTTATCTTGTTTGTTTAGTACAATAACTGTAAAACATGTGAGCTTTATTACTAATTGTATCTTCCAAACATCATCTAAATTGTTCAAAGGTTTTATTTTGGATCATTTCTCTCAGTTGATTGTTTGGGTTTGCACAAAAACATATTCGTATGGATAAAGCATTATTAAAGTCTAAAGTTGTTAACCCCTGCAGGGTGATGTCCCATCCTCGATGATATTTAGATTTTTTTTTCATACTCAAATGCACAAATATAATCATATGTATGAATGGATAAATCTCACAAATTGAAAGTGTTTTGGTAACAATTACATTTGTGAAGAGCACATGTAAATAATAAATATTGTTACATACTTTATTGCCTGTGGGAAACACTGAATCATTTACCGTGCTTCTAATGCAGTAATGACAAGCTGCAAAGCAAGAAGATTGAAAATAAGCTCTCAGCTGCTCAGCATATCTATATATTTATTGAGTAGTGTACTAAAAGGACACTGATGATTTCATGCAAGGGTTTGCATTATACAATTATATGTACTGAAAATCCTTTCCATAAAGGAAAAGCACAGAGCTGTGGAATTTTTCAATAAAATATTGCATTTATAAGGTGTATGGATATATTTCTTAAATGAGAATAATTATTGGAGTCTATTATGATTATATGCCACTACAATATTCATAACGAAATACAGTGGGGAAAATTAACAAAACATTATTTGGCATGTTGTATTTCAAAGCAAATTCTGGTGTCTTTTTAACATCGTATACTGGGTTCAGGTTAAAAAGCAAAACAGCTTTTTCTATGTAAATAAGGCATATTATGAAATGCAAAAGATTGAAAAACGTCAACTTTTTTTTTTCTGATGCAGTAACATGCATCTACTACTGCCCATGCAAAGCAGGCAGTCAAATTCAATTAAAATTCAATTAAATGCTTGAAGTGACCATGGCAGCAGTGATTGTAGTCAGATCTATGTGTAAATAAATACAGTGCAGGGTAAATTACTTATGAATTGCTTGCCTTACTGAAATAAAAAACTGTTTTCAGTGACATAATCTGTTAGATTACACATTTTTGGTTACTTAATCTGACTACATTTGATTACGTTTTAGATTACTTTTGATGCCACATACATTTAAATAGTACAATCGTGTACTATTTTGACATAAAACACAATAAGAAAATATTCCATTCTCATATTACCAACAAGTGCCTCACAAAAACAGATTCTTAAAGGGACAGTTCACCCCAAAATGAAAATCCTGTCCTCATTTACTCACCCTCGTGTCGTTCCAAACCTGTATGAGTTTCTTTCTTCTGTTCAACACAAAAGAAGATATTTTGAAGAATGTTGAGAACCAAACAGTTGCTACACATTTGCAAATACCTATCAACCACCAAGCAAGTAAATGGCAAAACCCTAGCAGCTGCTTAGCAACACCCTAAAAAAACAACCAGGGGTGCGTTTCCCAAAAGCAGCTATGGCTGTCGTTACTAATAGAGTTCAATGGAACTTGAGATCATAGTTTGCTAATGATGTTTTTGGGTAACGCACCCCAGAAGAGCAACCACATAGCAATTTATCTGTCTGTCTGAGAGACTGCATGAAGGCCTGAAAACCGTCAAATGATGAGCTTTTAAAATTGCTTAAAACACTCAAAGTCAAATGCGAACTTTGAAAGTAAAATCACTAAGAACTAGTTTGATATGACTGGCCTTCAAAAAACACACACGACACCAGCACCCTATTGGAAGTGGTTTAGCAAATGATTCAATAGGACTCTCGAGATGACCACAGCTTCTAAAGACATTCAGTTTTGAACTTCAGTTACAATTTTGAAGTGTATGAAAAGCCTGTTCTGTTCGAGCATATCCCGAGGCTGCCAGCAGACGTGGTGTTTCAGTATGTCTTTGATGATTGAGTGGTCAGCAACCATGACTTCTGAGAACGACTGCAGAAAACTGCCAGGAAACACAGCCACAAAGAACAGACACAGCGTGCCAAACGTCATAGGTTCACCTTTGGCAACCTTCAAACGGAAATAGAGTTTTAATGGCCACGAAGAGAGAGGCATGATGAAAGTTGCAGCAAATTTTCATTTTTGGGTTAACTGTCCCTTTAAGAGTGTTCCGACTGGCAGAGAGAAAGTTGTGCGTGCTCAGTTTCCAGTGAATATCTTGGAATTTCATGTCGTGTTTGTCTCAGGTCTTGTAAAAGAAAATTGAGCAGCTATCCACCTGCTCTCAAGCGAATCTTTACACACTCACACATTCAATGGAAGTCGGGTGGGTTCCAGTATTGTTAAAATGTCTTCTTTTGCGCTCCACGGGAGAAAGCAATGCATACAGGTTTAGAACGAATGAGTAAATGATGACACGTTTTTTTTTAATGGGTGGACTATCCCTTTAATTGAATTAATTGTAGACATGACATGCAGACTTCTTCACTCCCATTTACAAGCAATTTTCCATAGTATGAAAAACTGTGGTGGTTTATACTGCAAATTATTCATTTGTACCCTGATGCACAACCTAAAAAAAATGAAATGCAATAGGCCTGTTCATTTGAAATCATTGACTCCAAATGCAAAATGCAGTCCTAAGGAGTATTCTGATGACCAGTCCTATATATCAATATAAATCATGCTAACACAGCAGTATCTGATTTGATAATATCCACAAGAGATTCCGGCTCTAACCCCTCATCTAAATGTAGTATTCTCCATGCACGTTAAACAGTTTCCCACACCCAGTTTTTACAGCCAAGTCATCCAAAACTCCTGTGACCTTGAGTGATTATCACTCGGCTTGCAACACTTTTTGGCCACTGGCTGTTGACTTGAGAAGAATTTAAAAGACCTCTTCCATATTCTGTATGCCAGGACTTGTCCGCAGTGGCTAACGGAGAAGGATCAGAAGACAAGGCGAGGGTCTTCCTGCTCTCTACAGGAACACGACTGAACACGCTTGCTGCAAGGCAAATCTGAGAACACATAAAAACAGTGACCTTTGCCTGCTTCATCTAAAAAATGAAATAACAGTAATAATTTGATTAAATGTGGTCGTGGTTTGTATTTCATTCAAACAGAAAATGATGATTTATAATAGACAGCATGAATTCTGTTCAAGTTTGACCATAATTCTATCACATTGATCGGTTTCAGCTCCTGGACAGCTATTATCGATTGCTGCAGGACATGTTCTGTCTTTCAACAGCATTGGAAACTAAAACCAACAGCATTTCTCAATCTCAAGCAAATAAGTCACCAAGGTCTTTCTGGCGATGCACAGCAGATGTGCTCCACCAGGTGGATGAAAGTAGTAGTGCTACTAACTTTACATTTTTCAGAAATGTGACCATAACACTGCTGTTCAGTAATAACTTCTCTGTCAGATTTGATTAGATGATATCTTCAAAGAAAAAAAAAAGTATGTTTGCTATTAAATGACTTAAAATGTGTGATAAGCATTGCATGAGACTGCACAGCCATCTTGAACTATAACAAGGTTGTTGTGTCTATCTCTGTATTTTATTTTATTACACTTATATTGGCTTATGTTGGCGTGAATTGCCACATAAAACATAAAGATAAAATATGCATACATATAAACATACATAAAAGATATTATTAGTGGGTAAAAGCTTTTTGAGCTTTTAGTTTGTGAACTACATAATAAAATCACGTTATGCTGAACTTTCATTTTATAATTTTATTGTGGATTAGGTGAACCTCTGTCACTAACATAACTTACATTAGTGTAAAGCACGTTTGTATGATAAATGTCACGTGTTCTCTGTCTTGTGTTGGACTTTTATGTTCATTTTTTTTTTTTAAATGTAATTCCTGTACTGGTTTCTTTAGTGATTGTGCTGCTTTCCGCATCAGGTGCTTGTACAGTTTAATGCATTAAAGAGATGCTTTCCCCAGCACGTAACTGTTATTACAATTATGCACATATTCCCATTTCGCAACAGTTTCTCGTAACTGTAAGCGGGTCATTGTTAAACTTAAATGTCATTAAACAAGCATGCATGCTTGTCAAACAGATGAAGTGCATCAGATGAATTAGCATAATAATTTAGACTAAAATATGCATTTTTATGCACCATTAAACAGAAAATATATTTTTATAACAATAACTGTAATGAGGGTTTAATAAAGAGTTCTTTACATTTAGGCCCTACTAGAAGAAAAAAAATGACAGTAACATGTTACTGTGTTCAGAGGGTTTCTTGTTTGTAGTTCCTTTCCTAATTTCTTGTACCTTTTTATATTATTAATAAATCGCTGCATATGGATCCTGCTCTCCTTCATCTCTGAGTCACTTTCCCAGTGTTACAGTGGCTAGGGTTAGGAATCATAAACCCAAAACCCCTCTGTTGAAAAACAGATGTTAATTATATCAGGCTAGAAACATTCAAAAATAGTTCAAGATGTATTTTACAAATTCTGCTGTTGTTTTCCAGTCGTGTGACCCAAATGAATTTGCTTAATGCTTAATGACAATTAGGTAACTAAAAGGGTTGCAGGCTTTTCGTTGAGCGTGTCATTTCTAACTCCTTGCTTTGAGCAGTGACCCTAGTCACAACATTCCCTCTCGTATCCTATTGCTTAAATTAGAGCCTTTTCTACAAGATTGTGAGTTTGTAGGAAACTCCTGATGCAGCTGGCCCCTGTTCTCCCAATAATAACCGGTTATAACTGTACCCTTGTGTAATTAACACGACCTAAATAAATTCATAAGAAAAAAAAAAGAATCTAATAATAATAAAAGTGAAACTAAATTTATGGAATTCCGAAGCTGAAACGCTATGTTAATGATACTGATACACAATCGCTTGCGTATGAAATGAAGTGAAGTAAATGTCTGTCCAGTCTGAGTGTTTTGGGGGTTGGCTCAGGCTTTAGAAGAAAGTAGACAGCATTAGGTAATGAGACAATACCTCACGAAAACCAACACAAAGCACTTGTCCCGCACTGTAGAAGCACATTCAAAAGCACCACAACCTGCTCTAATCCCTTTGGCTAGAGTTGCTGACACTGGCTAACCCTTTAGAATAGGCCCTCTCTCATGATGTGGGAAGATCACCGCATCTAACCCAACCAGTCCATGTTCAGCAGCACCACTGCACGAAGCTGTCGTGGCCCTCACTGTTATTACGAAAACAATCCAAAATATACCGCTAACCCATTTCGCTGAGAGGAACCAGGTCAGTGGATACATGTATGTTTTTATATATTGAATAGTTTTCAGGTGTCAGTTCAGAGCATGGTGTTTAGAAATGTATCGTTCTAAAAACACTGCACTCTGAAAATAATAATGCAGCTACAGCAAATGTTTTCATTTATTTTCTTTGATTTTCATTAGTGAATTCATCGCGATTAATCGCATCCAAAATAAAAGTTTTTGTTTACATAATATATGTATGTGTGCTGTGTATATTTATTATGTATATATAAATACACACACATGCTTGTATATATTTTGAAACTATTTAAATGTATATATATATTCATATAATTAATAAATAAACATAACCTATTTTTCTGAAATATCGATTAATCGTTTGACAGCACTAATTTTCATACATTTAATTTATTTCTCCCCTAAATAGTTGGTCACGTTCACTTTTCATTTCAAAATCAGCTTTCTTTAATGAAACATCGTCAACGTATATTGAGTAAAGCAGTTAATTGCAAGTTTAATCGTATATTTGAACACCTGTAGTGAATCCTTAGGAATTAAAAAAGAAAAAAATGATTGAAGGCGATCGGGAACTTTCAGCTATGATTCAGGAGCTCTGGGACAATGATATCAATCGGCTGAGACCTGGGATTGATTATCGCATATCTCTGCAGGTAATTCTCACATTTTCCCTGTGTGAACTTTACAGGTTCCCTGATAATAAATAAGTAACTCTGAGTAATAGTTAACACCTGTTTTCTGTTGCATCCTTTACATTTTACACTAATGAAGTGACATTGCTATTTTATGCTTGTTGACCTAAGGCAGGTGTAGGCAAGTTCGGTCCTAGAGAGCCGCAGTCCTGCAGAGTTCAGCTCCAACCCTGATCAAACACACCTGAACAAGCTAATCAATGTCTTCAGGATTACTAAGGCTATAGGCAGGTGAGGGTTTTTTTTCAGGGTTGGAGCTGAACTCTGCAGGACTGCGGCTCTCTAGGACCGAACTTGCCTACCCCTGACCTAAGGTCATAAGGTCAGAGAAAGTGCAAACAAACTGAGATGAGCATTGTTCTTCAGAAAAACCTTTCACAATGACACTTTTGGGCACTGCTGCCAAATGTAAACTTGGATGCTTACTAGAACTGTTAATGATAGAGTAATTATATGATGTAATCACAACTTGGCTGCAAGAATGAAAATGTATTAACTGTACTTATTAATCATGTTAACACACATTTTCTGATTAAGGTGCATATTCTGGTTAAGCATCTGTTCTGGCGTTTACGTACTAACCAGCAATCAAAACGAGCCTGTTTTTACATATAATAATAATACTTACCCAGAGATTTATTATAATACAAATATTAAGTTTTTGCTTTATGTCACAGGGCAAAGCGGGTGATCTGGCAGGTTTCGCCGATGACAATGATGGAGCAGGACTGCCTTTGTTCACGTTTGTTGACGAAAACATTTTCAAAAAGGAGACTTTCTTGGGTAAGGAAATCAGCTAATATGTATCATTTGGTTTATTTAAAGATACACTGCAGAAGACTTTTCCTTTTAAAGCCATGTTCTTGCCCCGTCCACACAAATACAGCAACTTCAGTTGACTAAGTGACCTCATCCAATTAATTTTTAATGAGAGCTTGAGACTTTTGGAAAGAAGTTTAGTTTAGTTGAACTTTGTGCAAATAAGGAGTGACTCTCAGGTGGTTCAGTTTTTCAAAACTCTGAATCAACTGAACCTGTTTCGATGAATACAAAACAGCACGTTTTTTAATTTGTAGGGCTTGTTTTGTGTGTTTATTGAGAGCTTAGCTAGTCATGTCAATAAGAGACAATTAGCTATTCCTACTAGCTACTAAAAGCCATTTAGGCACTGGTTCATGGGTTAAGTTAGATTGCCTCCTAGCGGCGAACCACTGAAATCTTGAAAAGTTTCGGAAAGTATTGCAATCACATTGCAATCTCAAACCATCAGATTCATCCACATAGAAAAGCAGCGCAAAAACACACCTGATGTAAAACTTACCTTCATCTGCATGTCACTTGATTTTGTTTAGATGTGAGCACAGAGTTCCTTTAAGAATCAGTAACAAAAGAAATGTGTTTCATCGTGTTGTTTGATGGTTATTTCTTCTCTAACGAGTGAAACAAACTTGACAAACAGAAAGATCAACTGTGAGTGTGTACATATATAACTTCATATAATTTACTCAATGTTATACTTATACTTAATATAACATCTATAACTTAATGTTAAAGGAACACCTGAAACATGAAAATTCTGTCATCATATACTCACCTCCATGTCATTCCAAAGTCATAAGATTTTCTTTCTTTTGTGGAACAAAATTGAACATACAATAGAATAGAATAATATTCAATGGTGTCCAAAAGCTTTTTATACAACTCCAAATCTTCAGAAGCCGCACAATCATTATGCTAGACAGAGCGAAACATCAAACCTCACTGGCTCTTGCATGTCACGTGACTTAACGTGTCATCACACAAGCACCAAAGAGGTTTGGTGTTATTGATATGCATAAGTATACTTCTTCACTGAGGCATGCTATACTAACTATCTGAAATCTGTTGAGAAAATATTTTGCTGAAACCTGCAATCTAATACGTATATCTGTCTCATAACATTAATCTCTTTTTAATGCATATTCTTTCTATTTTTTCTTAATTTCCTTACTTTCAATCTCGTTCGCAGCCGGATGAGAACAAGCACATTGTGGCTCTGCAGTTCAGCTGGAAGAATGGAATCAAGCCCAAAGGAAGCATCTTCATCGGTGTGAGCCCAGAGTTTGAGTTTGCTCTGTACACTCTGTGTTTCCTCACGTCTCCAAACGAGCGAGTCAAAGTCTCCTTCAGCGTCTACGAGGTGGAGATCGTCTGTCACCACTACAACCAGAAGCACATCGGCACCACCTATCCTGTGCTCGTCAAATACCTCAATACATAACCACACACAGGGCCAAGCGACTCATAGTTCATTATTTCATAGTGGCTTGGTTATAAGTATTGATGTTATGTTTTAATCTCAAAAACAATAAACTAAAAGACCATCAATGCCATAGCCTTGTGTCTACATGAATCTTGACTGCATGTGTTCCTCTTCATTATCGTCTCATTTTCATACACTGATTCATATTTCTTGTTCACAGTATTTTGAGGTCATGTTTTGAAGCGTGTCTTCTCCAGACTGGTTAAAGCACAAAGCAATCATATTCAAGTGTGGGTTTGATCTGCTGAACGAGTGCACCATGCTTCGGTGAATCAGTCCTCTCGTTCGTCACGTTATCCTCGACTCGGCAATGCTGGAAGGCTTTGGCAGTACGAATGTAAAAGCATTGGTCATGCCAATAAAGGAACTTAACCCTCAATTGGTCCTTGGGGTCAATATGACCCCAATTGAAATTGAATGGGAAATGCGAAAAAATGTGTAAAAAAAATCAATAAATCCAGCTTAAATCTGAAATGTGGAAAGAGCATACTCACTCACGTACACACACACACACACACACTCTCTCTCACACACACACACCGTTCATATCTGCTTATTGCAGTTGTTTTTTGTTTTAGTTTTGGGGGGGTTGTGTTGTTTTCATTTCCATTTAAGCAAAATAAAATTGTTTTGATTTTTACTTTTTAGATTGAAAAAAAAGATGTGCCTGCGATCAAGTTTTAGTCACAACTTGTGTGGCATTTCTGCAAATATTGCAATAAATATTGCAAAGGCGGGCACTTCAAAATACCTCAAACAACAAACTAACCTTTGAGAAAAATACTGTTTTTTAATGTATATTTCAAATGTATATTTACCAAATATCTCTCAGAAAAGTTGTGGGAGAAGCAGTGGGCCACTTCCAGAACAAATGAATGGATCTCTATGGGCCTCTGCTGGAAATATATGTTCATTACACTATTCTTAAGGTTTTCTCTAGCCAGCAGGTGGCAGAATTCTACACCTAACACCTAGATCAATATCCAGAAACAACTTAAATCACATTTAGATCATCATTTAAGTGATTTTTTCATACAAATGTGATATTTCACATGCAAGCTAATGGTGTAGTTGAGGAATTTTGTGGTGAACAGGTACAAAAGTACTTAATATCTCCCAAAACACAGCTTTAATGTATAGATGAGAAGTAAACAAAAAAAATGATATATTATTTGTATGATTAAAAATTTATATATTTTTCACAATTGCTCTATCAATTTCTGTGAATAATATCTCAAAGATACAGGATTAATAAAGAGGATTTAAGAATGATTATATGAGTTTTTTGTTTCTCACTCCCTCAGCAGCAATGCTCCACCCTCCGTCCCAGTAGGTGGCAAAGTGATATCTCACATGCAAGCTAATGGTGTAGTTGAGGAATTTTGTGGTGAACAGGTACAAAAGTACTTAATATCTCCCAAAACACAGCTTTAATGTATAGATGAGAAGTAAACAAAAAAAATGATATATTATTTGTATGATTAAAAATTTATATATTTTTCACAATTGCTCTATCAATTTCTGTGAATAATATCTCAAAGATACAGGATTAATAAAGAGGATTTAAGAATGATTATATGAGTTTTTTGTTTCTCACTCCCTCAGCAGCAATGCTCCACCCTCCGTCCCAGTAGGTGGCAGAGTCTTCCGGTTGCCAACCGGAAGCAGCAGCAGCCTGTCAAGCACAAGCTCCTCCCATCGGCCCTGCTGTGAGACTGCAGTTGTCCACTGTAGAGCTGCTTTGGGAATAGAGAAAGGTACGTGTTTTATAAGTTATTATCTTAGTAGGTCACAATTCAGATACAAAAAGGAAAGAACCAGTCGTAGGGTGACACAGCGCAGTAAAGTTATTAGTGTCACGCTCGATATTCGGCTGTTCTGCTTAAGGGATCGTCTAAAAATTCCACGCACGGTACAAAACGTAAGCCATGTCCAATCCTTAATCCTAACACTTCTGAATTGGCGCACAGCTTTTATTAAAACTGTATACATCACATGTAATAAGTCAGTGTGGTAAGTCAACCTATTACAACTTTTTAAATATGAAAATAACATGTAGGTGAAATAAAGTTTTTTCACCCTATACTGTGTTTGTATAAATATTTTTTATATTGCACTATATTGGCAAAAATCCCCCTGTAGGAAGACTGTGTGTGGTTAGTTGGAGCCTAGTAAAGTACATATCAACACCTCTGAATTGGCGCACAGCTTCTATTAAAACTGTATACATCACATGTAATAAGTCAGTGTGGTAAGTCAACCTATTACAACTTTTTAAATATGAAAATAACATGTAGGTGAAATAAAGTTTTTTCACCCTATACTGTGTTTGTATAAAGATTTTTTATATTGGACTATATTGGCAAAAATCCCCCTGTAGGAAGACTGTGTGTGGTTAGTTGGAGCCTAGTAAAGTACATAAATTATATAACATTTTGGTGAATTATAGTGAAGAATCGTTAATCATAATAATAAAGGGAGGTGTTGGCCATCTGTAGTGACACTGCTTCAACCTTTAGAATATGAAAATGTGTGTGTGTTTAACATTAATTAGTCATTTGAATTAAAGCCATTCTGATTTAAATTAAACTTGTGATCATTTACTCACATGATGTTGTTTCAACCATTCAAGACTTTCGTTCATCTTCAAAACACAAATGAAATTATTTTATATGAAGCCTGAGAGATTTCTGTCCCTCCAGTGAAAGTCTATTCACCCGAAACCTCAGAAAGAGCTCTTTCAAGTTTTAATTCAGATATAAACATTGATCATTTCACATAATGCATATTAAATATGGTAAGCAGAAGCTCAAATGTGCATGCCTGATACAGAATTATAACAAAATACATTCACTTGGATTTATAAGATTGTCTCATCATACAGTGCATGCATTTGACATCAAAAACATGTCGAATTTCTATAAAAGTCGGTTTATGTATATAGACCGTATATATGTGTCTGTATAAAGTCTCTTTATGTTGTCACCAAAATAAAAAAACATTTTCATCACTAAAAGTGAAGCCACATTTCAATCTCCCCCTAGTGGCCGGCTGCGGTATAGGTCATAAACCATGGGGTGTGTACACTAAAAAATGTATTTTTGGTTGCTTGAACTTCAAATAGATGCAATAAAAGGATAAGGGTATATTTAAAAAGATATGTTCCGAGGATGAACGGAAGTCTTATGGTGTTGCCAAAAACATGTCGAATTTCTATAAAAGTCGGTTTATGTATATAGACCGTATATATGTGTCTGTATAAAGTCTCTTTATGTTGTCACCAAAATAAAAAAACATTTTCATCACTAAAAGTGAAGCCACCTTTCAATCTCCCCCTAGTGGCCGGCTGCGGTATAGGTCATAAACCATGGGGTGTGTACACTAAAAAATGTATTTTTGGTTGCTTGAACTTCAAATAGATGCAATAAAAGGATAAGGGTATATTTAAAAAGATATGTTCCGAGGATGAACGGAAGTCTTATGGTGTTGGAATGGCATGAGGGTGACTAAATGATTTCATTTTTCACTCCCTTGGACAGCGCCGACGTTTTACAGTAGTGATTGCCTTTTTGAGACGGTCCCTTACTCGCATGCTATAATAGCGTGTTAGCGTGTTCTTGAGCGTTAAAATGCAGCTATAAGAAGCGGTTTTAGGTGTGTTCGAATATTGTTTAAACTTACTGCAGTATTGGTATCTTTGCAAGACTGTCACCTTTCCAGAACAGAAGGAGAAAGCAAATATACTGCGAATAACGTGAAACCGTGTTTATCACGTTTGTTAACATTAATTTAGGTTAGCACATCGTTTTTGCCCTTGTGTTTCCCTTCAGATGGAGTCGGGAATGTAGTAGTTATGAGTTTCAAACACGTGTATGGCCAAGCGAAGTCCTGTTTACAAAAACTCGGAATTCTCCCAATTCGCCTACACTAAGTATTTCGTGAAGAAAACATATATAACGTTGCTTTTGAGTGTGCAGCAAGCAAGCTTTGGTTTAAACAATAACAAACAATTGGTTACAATACTTCCACGTCGCAAAATCGCTCTTTGTCGCATAGTTATGTATTCTGACTCACCATAAAGCATAAGCATAAGCCGGCCTGTCAATCATCCTGTCACACTTAAAGGGCCAGTACACCAAAAAAACTGTCGCTTAGTTATGTATTCTGACTCACCATAAAGCATAAGCCGGCCTGTCAATCATCCTGTCACACTTAAAGGGCCAGTACACCAAAAAAACACTGCTGTCAATTTACTCACCCTCAGGCCAGCCTAAGATGTAGGCATCTTCCTTCCTTCAGTAGGACACTAAAGATGAACCCATGGTCCTTGGTGATTCATAATATGCAAGTCACCAAATACAAGAAACATACAATTAAAAACCCGCAGCTCCTGGTGATACATTGAGATGTTAAAGGGATAGTTCACCCAAAAATTAAAATTACCCCATGATTTACTCACCCTCAAGCCATCCTAGGTGTGCATGACGGTCTTCTTTCAGACGAATCCAATCGGTGTTATATTTAAAAACCGTCCTGGCTCTTCCAAGCTTTATAATGGCAGTGAATGGGTGTTATTTTTCAGTAGTCCAAAAGACGTCAAATAAAGTGCATCCATCCATCATAAAAAGTGCCTCACACGGCTCCGGGGTTGAATAAAGGCCTCCTGAAGGGAGCCAATGCATTTTTGTAAGAAAAATATCCATATTTAAAACTTTATAAACCGTAATCTCTCTTTTTTTTTTTTTTTATCTCAGGAATGTTCAAATGTCAGCCGACCAGGACTCCTGGTGATACATTGAGATGTTAAAGGGATAGTTCACCCAAAAATTTAAATTACCCCATGATTTACTCACCCTCAAGCCATCCTAGGTGTGCATGACGGTCTTCTTTCAGACGAATCCAATCGGTGTTATATTTAAAAAACGTCCTGGCTCTTCCAAGCTTTATAATGGCAGTGAATGGGTGTTATTTTTCAGTTGTCCAAAAGACGTCAAATAAAGTGCATCCATCCATCATAAAAAGTGCCTCACACGACTCCGGGGTTGAATAAAGGCCTCCTGAAGGGAGCCAATGCATTTTTGTAAGAAAAATATCCATATTTAAAACTTTATAAACCGTAATCTCTCTCTTTTTTTTTTTTTATCTCAGGAATGTTCAAATGTCAGCCGACCAGGAAGCACAAGAAGATGAACTGCTTGCTCTAGCGAGCATCTACGATGAAGAGGAGTTTCGCAGAGCCGAGTCGGGAAAGGAGGGCGAGATCCATCTGTGCCTGGAGCTTCCGCCGAGCTTCAAACTGCTAGTCAAGGGTGAGGCTTTATAAGCAGGTGCTCAGACCTTCTTCTAACATCTGAGAGTCTATAATGTTTCCTTGTTTTACAGGACAGAATTCCACAGAGCATAATGTATCATTTCTACCTCCGCTGGTTCTGAGTTTTGAATTCCCGGCTGACTACCCTTCAGCATCGGCTCCGGTTTTTACTGTAAGCTCCAAATGGCTGACGAGAGTCCAGGTGAGTCCTGTTTAGTGATGTCCTGAAAGCGGTGTCATTTCATTGTTGTCATTTGCTCTTTTATATATCTAATGCATTCTTTTTGATTGTGTAGCATTGAATAAAAATGGATATGCTCACTTCTCAGTGCTTGCTCTTTTACTGACTGTCAACAACAGCCTGAGATAGAAGTCTCTCCATAAACTTTTATTCTTGTTGGATAAACTGTTTCATTTAGACATTACGTCACTTCACTGCTGTACTTAACCCTCTGGTGGCGTTTGGGTCATTTTGATCCAATATTTATCCTGATTTTTTCCTGATAATTTTTGTACTTTTTGGGGATTTTTCCCATCTTGTTACACTTGTGATGTAAAAATGTCCGGCCTGCAAAAAATAGCTCGTAAATTACTTGTTATATTATCACCAAATATTGTATTCAATCTTTTTATCAACTTGTTTTCTTTTACTTAGGACAGATTTTGTGTTTCTTTTTAGAGCTGATTGATCATAGACCTCATTGATCTGAGCTTATGCACCTGTTTTCGAGTGAAAAAACATTATTTGTGCATAATTTTGTCAATATTAGACAAAATATGAAAAGAAACGGTACAAAATGACACAAAGTCACGCTTGTGGTGTTCTCGGGTCAAACATGGCCAGCTTACGAGAACAGAACAGTTATGCAATATTATCACAAAATACTGGATTCAATCTTTTTGTCAACTTGTTTTCTTTCAATTAGGACAGGTTTTGTGTTTATTTTTGAAAGTGATTCATCGTAGGCCTCATTGATCAAAAACGGCATCCAATGAAAGTGAATGGGGGAGATCGAAGAACAGAATGAACGGTTTAAAGACTCAATCAGAGACAGTCCCTTGTGGCGTAACAATGTAACTGCACTGATTGACAGCCCGTCTAGAACGCACAGGTGAAATACCTGCAGAAAGTCTCTTGTCCAGTCGATTCGAGGATCAGAACTAACTGTTATACATGTAGGCTAACAACTAATGGCCCCTTTTCACAAGACTGTGGTGACTCGTTACAACGGTCATCAGCATCGTAAATCTCTCTGACTGTCGTTATCAGACTCTATTCCCGCGCCCCCCCCTTTTTTTAAAGTCGTGAAAACGCTATCATAGAGTTTTTATTTTGAGCTATTGGGAATGCAAAAAAAATGTTTGACGACTTCTGCTGCTGAGAAACCTGGAAATATGGAAAATGTCAGGTTTATGTTCTGTTATTTTGACATTCTCTTCTGTTTATTTCACTTCCTGTATCAGCGGCCTATTTAGTTTCGGTTTCATTGGTTTCAGGATAATGACCTCGTTACATTGTAACACACACAAAGATTATATATACATATATATACTGCATATGGTGATAAAAGGCGTATCGCGCTATTGAGCCACTCAAAATTACCGCAAGGGAAATTCCTTCACCTACGTGTGCTTGCAGACATAAAGGACCTGTGCATGAGTAGATGCATGCATACTCGAGCTACAGCACACACATGAGATGAACTAAATCATCAGATCAGTGAGGCCTACGATCAGTCAGTTTCAAAAATAAATACAAAACCTCTCCTAATTTAAAGAAAACACGTTGTCTGATATTTGAAAAATCTGATATTTAGCATAACGAGGGATTCACAAGCATTTTTTTTAATCAAATCATGAGGTACCAAGAGATTCTGACCCCTAGTTAAAACTGAATACTTATGTACAATTGCATTTATGCTGAAAAATTATACTTTTTACTGCATTACAATTTGATGCAAACTTAAAAATGCAAAGACTATATGTCATCATGACTTAAATCTATCCTGTGTTAACTAACAAGCCAATCAGTCATACTCACATTAATTTAACTTTCCTTTTATTTAAACAGCCAACAACATCTAATTTAGTGTAAACACTGATAAAGGCAGCAGTTTTTTAGAAGAGTAGTTTACCAAAAAATAAATGTGTCATCATTTTCCCACCATTATTATCATTGCAAACCTGCATGACTTTCTTCATTGGATCAGTTATTTTCCCAACTCTCCCAAAAGTGGATGGTAACCAGAGGGTCATAGCAGCTTTGACTCGGCTGAATGCTGCTAGTTCGGGGTAATCGGTTTGTTCAGCTAGTGGAAGTCTGGGAGGATATTTGGGAACCCTATTCAAGTGTATTTGGTGATCATTTTCTGCTGCTGTAGCATTGCGATAACCTTCCGCTCTCACTCCATCAGATCACTGCACTTTGCAGGAGATTGGACGAGCTTTGGGAGGAGAACCAAGGCAACGTGGTTCTTTTTACCTGGATGCAGTTCCTAAAGGAAGAGACTCTGGACTTCCTGGGAATCCAGTCACCGCTGGAAATCCAGAGCATTGAGAGTCCGCCTCAGTGTGAATCTGGCCCAAAACAAGCAGTAGACCTTTCCGGAGAAAAAAGTAAAGATTTAGACCCAAGAGCCGTGCAAGAAGTCGACGCTCGCACAGATATACTGACTCAGCTGCTGGATTTTGACGAAGCTCAGCAGCAGAAGGTGTTTGATGGGAAGGTGTTCTGCTGCGGCATCTGTTACTCCGAGAAGCTTGGATCCGATTCTCTGCTCTTCAAAGAGTGTCAGCATGTGTACTGCAAGGCCTGCATGAAGGAATACTTTCAGATCCAGATAAGAGACGGAAAAGTCCAGTGCCTTAACTGCCCTGAGCCAAAGTGCATGTCCATGGCCACTCCTTCACAGGTATCTTCTGTCTGTTTTTGTGTGATTGTGCTATAGTGTGAGTATGGATAGGTTATGTAGGGCTTGACGATGAGACTCGGGCCCACTTGAAATGACAGATGGCGGTTTATCATTCGCACATTTTTAAGTTGCCAGTGTCGATTTATAGAAGACACACGAGAAGAGAACTCAGTACTGAGTGAACAGAAAAATACACAACATTGTCAAAATGCCCACCTTGACCAGCATCCACAAGCCTTTGGGAGAAAATCTTATGCGTGTCGATGTATTACATCTACACATTAGGTTTTAAAGTGAGCAGTGTAATATACATGCTGCTGTCTGTGTCATTAATGTTCATCAAAAAGCGAAAATCACTCACTGCTCTTGACTGAATCACTTCTGTAGCTTTAAAAGCATTACTCTGTATTTAATCTGTGCAGTGAAGACTGTACAGTTTTATTTTATATTTGATTATTCGATTTCTGTAGGATTTCTTGTTTATTAGCACTGTTTATTTCATGTGTATCTTTGTTGTATTGCTGACTGATTAATTGTTTAAACTTTAAATTAGTTAGACTAGTAGTTTTTCCTGTGATACCGTAATTGGAATGGAGAATTGAGAAATTTCACTGGTAACTAGGGGTGTGCGATATTGACCAAAAAAGATACCAATTTTTAAAAATAATTATGGCCCTGTCTTAATGAGTTATACATTGAATCATTCATTCAAATGATTCATTCAAAACGGCTGATTAACGGCTCAATATTAACTTCATGTTTATTGAACAAAGCTAATATCACATTATCGCACACCCCTACTGGTAACTACAATTTTGACGCCTTAATGTTATTTATTAGAATTGTTAGTCAAAAACAACAAAGCAATATTTTTACTGTAAATATCTTAACCTTGAGCAAATATCCTTGAGCCCTGTTATGACTCTAAAACTCTTCAGCTGCATTCTGAATATAGTTTTAAGACTGACATCAGTATGCTCATATAACAGGTGAAACTTCTCGTGGGCGAAGATGAGTTTGCGCGCTATGATCGTCTTCTGCTGCAGTCGAGTCTGGACCTGATGGCGGATGTGGTGTATTGTCCCCGCATGAGCTGCTGTATGGCTGTGATGGTCGAGCCTGACTCCACTATGGGCATCTGTCCCGCCTGCAGATATGCCTTCTGTACCCTCTGTAAGCGGAGCTATCATGGCCTCTCTCACTGCATAGCGACTGCTGGTAAGAGGATATTTAGGTTGGCTTGAGAAATTGTAGCATGTGTCTGATATTAGTAAATTGGATGCTCAGTGACCAGTAGTACACGCACTTGGTTAGTTTGTTTCCCTCTGAAGAGTTCAAAAGCTGTGCCTTTCTTTAACAGATGAGCTTCGCAGTTTGCGGGATGAGTATATGTCTGTGAGTGAAGAGGGGAAGAAGTTCCTTGAGAAGCGTTTTGGCCGACGGGTCATTCAGAAGGCGGTGGAGGAGTCTTTTAGCACAGACTGGCTGAAGGATAACTGTAAACAGTGCCCTTGCTGTGGCACTAATATACAGGTCAGTACTAAAGATGTGTGCATTAGGGGTCGACCGATTATCGGCGCCGATATTAAGCCTTTTTATGGTTATCGGCATCAGTCATTTTCAAAATCGATTTGCCGATAAAATAATTTAAAAGCATTTAGAGAAAGCTTTTGTCAGAGCACTTGTTATTCTTAATTTTGACATTAATTTTCATTTTTACACCAGACATATATATCGGCTATCGGTCTACTTTAACTGTAATAATCGGTATCCGTATCTGCCCTGAAAAATAGATATCGGTCAACCCCCAGTGTGCATACTACATATTTCCAAAATTACGAGCATGAATGACTAGATTTTGACCGAGGAAGTGAGCCTACGCCGATGTATAATTCATCAGCAACTCCATTTCCCACAATGCAACACGATTGTGACATCACAGCAGATCGCACTTAATCTACCCCCACATATCATATGAGTTACTTTGAGATTGAACCAAATAACACTTGCTGTTGTTTAATTTTCTATATTTTTTCCAACAGCCAAAAGCATACCTATAGGCAGTGTTGGGGGTGACGCATTACAAGTAACCCTAGTTATGTAATCAGATTACTTTTTTCAAGTAACTAGTAAAGTAGCGCATTACTTTTACATTTACAATGAGTTCGTTTTTCAAATAAGTTACACAAGTTACTTTGTTTTCCCATTTATTCACTGAGAGCTCTCCTGTCCCCGTGTTAAGAGAAATTGTGAGTGATGTGCCGAGGAGGAGGCACTTCTTTCAGCCTGAGGATTATTCATTTCACTTTTGGTGTTAAAGGACCTTTACAGTTGCCAAAAATATAACTTTGCGTTTTTTGTTATTAAAAAAAACTAAATAAGTTCAGCCCAGGTGACAAAAAGTAACGTAATGCATTACTTTCCATAAAAACGCATTTAGTTACTTTTTTTATGGAGTAATGCAATATTGTAATGCATTACTTTAAAAAGTAACTTTCTACGCTGCCTGTAGACATATAGAATGGTGCATAAAATCTTCCTTATCAACTTCTGGTTTTATGCACCATTCTATATGTCTACAGGTAGCGTAGAAAGTTACTTTTTAAAGTAATGCATTACTGGTAAATAATAAATCAACTCCATTCCAAATGATCTAGGGCTTAGAGTGTTTCAATTCAACCCACTGCACAACTAAACCAAGGATTGTATCAACAAAGAAAGTTTTTTTTATTTAAGCTTTATATCTTCTGAACACCTGGTGGTGCTGTCTTTAAACTTTACAGGCAGCTTCAGGATCATGCTGACAGTGAGCTCTGCAAAATTTTGTGCCAGTAAGTTAAAGCGTTTAAAAAGATCCTAATTGAATACAAATAGCAGTTCGTCCAATCCTGGCAAAAATGGTATCGTCGGCGTGACCCAAGGAATCCATAGACACAAAAATCACAATTTCTTGAAAAACATTTCTAAGGTTTTGGGCAAAAATAACCATTTTTGAGATCTTTTGACCTGTAGGTGGTGCTATTCCATAATTAAGCATGTGCTAATGAAGTGTACCACGTTTCGTTTTGATGGATCATGGTGTTGCACCCAAGGAATCCATAGACACAAACATCACAATTTCTTGAAAAACATTTCTAAGGTTTTGGGCTTTTGACCTGTAGGTGGTGCTATTCCATAATTAAGCATGTGCTAATGAAGTGTACCAAGTTTCGTTTTGATGGATCATGGTGTTGCTGAGATAGAGCACCTCATCCAATTTTAGGTCAGGATGTTTAATTTCACACAGTCATAACTTTTGCTCAACGATAAATATCAAAATTGTATATTAGGAATATTTTTGGTCTAGTAATTAAGACCTATAAGTGGAAAAGTGCTAGTCACTGATATAGTAGCAGTAAATATGATCATATACACCTATTAATTTAATTAAAACATTCGAATTAAAAACTGCCCCAGAAAGCTCTATAAAATCATTTAATTGGAGAACAATTGTGGGAACCCTCTGCAAACTGAGATCTGGTGTGTTGTGCAAAGGTGCGCTCTTTCGGTAGATTCTCAGAAAAACATGCCTGAATGACTCCGTGCATGGATTGAAAGTGCTCTTTTTCCCGTTTCTGTAGAAGGTGCACGGCAATCACAATTTCTTGAAAAACATTTCTAAGGTTTTGGGCAAAAATAACCATTTTTGAGATCTTTTGACCTGTAGGTGGTGCTATTCCATAATTAAGCATGTGCTAATGAAGTGTACCACGTTTCGTTTTGATGGATCATGGTGTTGCTGAGATAGAGCACCTCATCCAATTTTAGGTCAGGATGTTTAATTTCACACAGTCATAACTTTTGCTCAACGATAAATATCAAAATTGTATATTAGGAATATTTTTGGTCTAGTAATTAAGACCTATAAGTGGAAAAGTGCTAGTCACTGATATAGTAGCAGTAAATATGATCATATACACCTATTAATTTAATTAAAACATTCGAATTAAAAACTGCCCCAGAAAGCTCTATAAAATCATTTAATTGGAGAACAATTGTGGGAACCCTCTGCAAACTGAGATCTGGTGTGTTGTGCAAAGGTGCGCTCTTTCGGTAGATTCTCAGAAAAACATGCCTGAATGACTCCGTGCATGGATTGAAAGTGCTCTTTTTCCCGTTTCTGTAGAAGGTGCACGGCTGTAACAAGATGACCTGTTCGTCCTGTCAGAAGTATTTCTGCTGGATCTGTCTGGGAGCTCTCAGCAGAGTGAACCCCTACAGCCACTTCAACAACCCCAACTCGCCCTGCTATAACCAGTGAGTACCGTCTTCAACACGCTCTTAAATGTGTTTCAGAGCCTTACACGCATGCATTTATTTCTCCCAACTGTTTGCATTCACTTAAGACCGTCTGGATTAATGTGGAACTTGCATGTTGTTAAAATAACCTTGTGTTACCATTTAAGCACAACAGGACATGAAAGAGAGCGTTAATACTCGTGCAGAAACGATGCTCCTCCATAACTAAGAACTGCACAACATTTGGGAAACTCGGCAGGCTTCTAAATCCATTGAAATGCATGCTTTTCCAACACCCTCTAAATTAGTAAACGGATCAACTCTGATAAAACAGATAATAAACATACAACTTTTTTTGGTAAATTTGAGGGTATGTAAGTAGCTATAGCAACTTTTTTTAAATTTATGTTCCAAGGTTAGTTTATGAATTATTATAAGATAAAGCAATGTTTTGTTTTACCCCACAAATCTTTAACCCTCCTGTTATGTGCACATTTCAACCAATTTTAAAATATTAAAATATATCAATAAATTACTCAAATTGACAAAATAATTTATTTTTATTTACTTACCCGATATTTTAAATACATTTGGGGACATTTAGTTGGTCCCCATGAGGAAAACAGCTTGTTTTTGTTTGTTTGTTTATGTTTTTTGGAAATGTAAAAATGCAGAAAGTTGTGTTAGGGGAATGAAAATACAGTTAGTACAGTATAAAAATTATGATGTCTATAGAAAGTCCACATATAATATGGAAACCCAATAATAATAAATTTTGACAGATGCTTGTAAAATTGTGTGTACAGTGTTTGTAAACACATTATTGTATGAAATAGTCAAATATTAAGTATTAAACACAACAGAAAATTATTCTGCATATAATGTTTAATCTTTTATTTTTATGATATCACCAATTGGCTCAAAATGTGCACATGCATTTTAAAAACTTTGTAACACAAGATGTGCACATTTATGATTTCGTCTACTACATTTAGCAAAAGTCAGAAAGATTCAAGGTTTAAAAATATAGTTATCATATTTTTTTTAGAGATGTCTAAGTTGCTTTTGGGGTCAATTTGACCCAGACATCACAAGAGGGTTAAAAATAATAATAATAAAAAAATTAATGATAATAAAAATGATAATTTCACACATCCTGGGTCTGCATCTTATTTATTTTTGCAGCTGGATTATTTCTATATAATGCATTACAATAAGTAAGTTACCATTTTGTTACAGTGTAATTACACATACATGCTGAGTAATATTAATTAAGAACATTTACTTACTCTAGGGTAATGGTTAAGTTTATGGTTAGCTGCTTGTAATTAATTTACCGTTGCTATAGTAAGTCTTAAAGGGATAGTTCACCCAAAAATGAAAGTCGTGTCATTAATTACTCGCCCTCTTGTCGTTCCAAACCCGTAAGACCTTCGTTCATCTTCAGAACACAAAGATATTTTTGATTTGTATTTATTGATTAAATAAAAGAGATTTCTCAGGCAGTAAATGTGGATCATTCAGATGAATCTGGTTTGGTCTTGACTCAGGTTCTGGCGTACATACTGTTTTACAAATCTGACTTTTAGGATGAAAAACCTTCAGTACATGAGGACTCTGGTCTTAAAGTCATGTGTAATAGATTTGAGATGATTAAAGGTTGATGAAATGACATTATTCGTTTATTTTCTGCTCTAGATTGTTTCAAGGAGTGCAAATGGACGAGGAAGAAGGCTTTGGGAGTGACGAAGATAACTGATCCTCTATAAATGAAATGTTTTCATGCACACCAGACTGGACTCGACCAGAACCGAAAGCCCAAGACCTGACTTGAGTGTCAAGCATTTTTTAGCAATATATATTTTTTTTAATTTTCAACATTTTTGCAATTCAAATTCCAGCTCATACAAGCATCCCTTCACATAGCTTCATTGAAGATTGTAAACATTTCCACATTTCCAAATCAGCCTAACAGCTGTGCATGCAAAACTACAGAATATATCCTATATCTTTAGTTTATGAATCGGGTTTCTTTGCTGTTATTGTCTTTTAAGAAGATGTATTGTTTGTATAGGTATCCTCGGCTATTGCTGTCATTGTTAATAATGTACATTTCATCTTTCGGACAAACGGTGGATGGATTTAGCAGTAAAATAAATGTTAAAGAGTTCTTGTGGCGTGCATACTGTCTTTGATTAGATGACACATCATCAAGATTTTAGGTTAAAGTTATTAAACTCACGGTTTATGTAATGCATGATGATCAGTGGGCTCCGAGCTTGTCCTCGGTAACACAGTATTACAAAATGTAATCACGAAGCTTCTCAATGCTGTACTTTATTATAATCCCTTTGAGTAGTCTATAACATAACTGCACAGACTTTATTTAATATATGCAGGCTACACAAACTGCACATGCTGAAATAATTCTGCTAGCACTACACGGTTAGTGAGTGCACTGGTTATCAGGAACTACAGCTTTTCTCAAACTCACGCGTCTGAGTTCAGAATCCTGTGTAAAAACACAATGCCACATAAAAGCCAGACTGAGTTATGCCTGCTCTGACCCACCTCAGGCCCTGCCATCACACTACTGTATAAAGGTGCATCATAACAATTTGGTAATTAAAGACTTATTTGTTGATCATTTTACACAGAATGGTTGAAAATTACCCATAAATACAATTCAAGCCAACATAATAATCTTATATATTAGATCAGTAAAAAATATAAAAAATAAACTTATTTATTTATTTTCTCTCAAGGCGTGGCTACGGCGTCAGAACGCGTCACGTGTGTGGGCGGAGCCGAGCGCGAGCAGAGGAAGCTTCTGGAAGCGCGCGTGAGCTTCTCTTCCTTTATCCCGCGGAGCTGTGCTAACCTGAACTACCCCTCAGCAGAATGTCCGCGGTAAAAGCGCTTAACCCGAAAGCAGAGGTGGCCCGGGCTCACGCGGCCCTGGCGGTGAACATCAGCGCCGCTCGAGGGCTCCAGGACGTGCTGAAGAGTAACCTGGGGCCGAAAGGCACGATGAAGATGTGAGTGTCTGCTAGCGGCTAATGCTAGCGGCTTTGTTAGCACGTGTTAGTTATCCCTGTGCTGTCAGCTAACGGCGCAGATCTGAACCAACAGCCGTCGCTGCTAACGTCAGGTTCCAGTGTTTAGCAACCTGTTTATTAACATACATGAAAGTGTAGCTTTGAGACGATTAGCGTTATGCAGTTAGCATCAGAGCTAGCAACTGACTCATCGTGGCAGTAACCCTGCGTTCAGATGTCCTCGAGCTAGTTTTAAATGAATGTTTGTTTATTATTATGTCTGTATCTCATTGCATCAAGCCATTTAACCCTAGAATGCATGAACCAAGATGCTACACAAATGCATCATATATGCATAAGATAACATGGATGTGTTTAATACAGTTGTAGTTTTTCCTGAGCAGACTTGGAAAGAAATGAGAAGGACTGTGGAGTCAGGTGATGTGAAATGCTCTTTGCAGACTGGAACAGAACATTTTGCACATCTTCCTTTTTTTTTGGGCCTTCTCTCTCATCCGCTGCATCTGAAAGCATGTGCTGTCTGTTAGGCATAAGCATGAATGATAATACTTTATTGCTGTAATCCTTCCACAGGCTTGTGTCTGGCGCAGGAGACATCAAGCTCACCAAAGATGGGAACGTTCTGCTGCATGAGATGGTGAGAGCTGTGTGCATTGATGTGTAATTAAGGACTGTGGAGTCAGGTGATGTGAAATGCTCTTTGCAGACTGGAACAGAACATTTTGCACATCTTTTTTTGGGCCTTCTCTCTCATCCGCTGCATCTGAAAGCATGTGCTGTCTGTTAGGCATAAGCATGAATGATAATACTTTATTGCTGTAATTCTTCCACAGGCTTGTGTCTGGCGCAGGAGACATCAAGCTCACCAAAGATGGGAACGTTCTGCTGCATGAGATGGTGAGAGCTGTGTGCATTGATGTGTAATGTAGTGGCATGTAGCCCATATTGCAGGAGGGCTGCTTCTCCAGATATCAGACCGACACAGAATCAGTGTGCCGCGTGGTTTAACCTCAGATGTTGATTCGGCATGCTTTCGCTCGTGTTGTTGAATCAGCATCTGAGCGTGATGCAGTGAGTAGATGTCTGTCTGTAAGTTCTTAATGCTTTTATTATACATACCCATCACCAAAACTCATCTGCTGTTACAAAGTATCGTCTGGGTTTAATTTGGGGTTCACCCAAGAAAGAAAATTGTCATCATTTGCTCTCCTCGTGTCGATGTAGTGGCATGTAGCCCATATTGCAGGAGGGCTGTGACTCTCAGATATCAGACCGACACAGAATCAGTGTCTCGCGTGGTTTAACCTCAGATGTTGATTCGGCATGCTTTCGCTCGTGTTGTTGAATCAGCATCTGAGCGTGATGCAGTGAGTAGATGTCTGTCTGTAAGTTCTTAATGCTTTTATTATACATACCCATCACCAAAACTCATCTGCTGTTACAAAGTATCGTCTGGGTTTAATTTGGGGTTCACCCAAGAAAGAAAATTGTCATCATTTGCTCTCCTCGTGTCTTTCCAAACCTATAAACGTTGGTTACTCTTTGAAACACACATGACGGTGTTTTTAATGAAATCTAAGAGTTTTCTGTCACTATAACTTAAGATCCAAAAATGTAAGTTTTTGTAAAATTAATGCATATGAATTAAGCGGTTCCAGGTCTTGTGAAAAAATGTAAATTTGTGTTTTTCAGCGCCGTTCTTCGTTTAAATGACAGCAAGGATTGATTGTGATAATCTTTGAATCAGGAATTATAAATGGTTCAAAGAACGAAAAAAAATAACTTTTTTTTTTCTCCCCCCGGGAACTTAATAGAAAACCAGTTTGTAGTCGTTTCAGAACTGAACAAGTGATTATTTTTTTTAAAAAGTTGGAATATTTTTGTTGTTCTGTGGAGCCTAATAGAAGATGTTGTGAAGAAGCAAACTGTTTTGTTTCCCATTGACTTCCATTGTTTGGACAAACAGATGGCGGTGGGAACTAAACACTCATACAGGTTTGGGATGACGTGAGGATGAGTGATCTCCCCCCGGAACTTAATAGAAAACCAGTTTGTAGTCGTTTCAGAACTGAACAAGTGATTATTTTTTTAAAAAGTTGGAATATTTTTGTTGTTCTGTGGAGCCTAATAGAAGATGTTGTGAAGAAGCAAACTGTTTTGTTTCCCATTGACTTCCATTGTTTGGACAAACAGATGGCGGTGGGAACTAAACACTCATACAGGTTTGGGATGACGTGAGGATGAGTGAAAGCAGGTAAATATTAGGGCTGTGTATCGCCAGCAAAGAAAAGATACGAGACTGCACTGAATTTCACCTCAGCAGATTTTAGTTAAACAAACAGACACTGCATACTATACAGGACTCAACGCCTTTTTTTTTTTTTTTTTACTGGTTCTTTATTTAAGTTTTTACTTGCATTGCCAATATTTTCACTGGCCCTGCCACACAAATATTAAATGGTGGTTATCATTGTTTTTGACCCATGTCATATTTCATTCTAATAAACAAGCTTATGACACAAATTTAGATACCAATTAAATTTTACAATTCTCTATTCTATTTTCGATACCACAGCAAAAACTACTAGCCTATCAAATAATAAACTGTATTAACTCTTTCCCCGCCAAACACAGAATTTCCTGGGTTTCCACTGTTACGCGTTCTAGGCACTATTACACATCGAGGCCAGAATCTCCCGATCAAAAACACAGGCAAGGAAGACGCAGAAACGAGCGATCTCGTATATAAGCAGAAATGAAAAATAATGCGATCATCAACAATAAACGGCATATAAATGTAATGTTTCCGAGTGAAACGTCGATCCAGGAAGTGGTAAAGGAGCGTGAAGCTTTGGGGGTGTTGATGAAGCGGTCTGCTGCATCTTTGCTTTGATCAACTGAATATGATCTGATAAAACGATTTTCTCAGCTTTTTGAGGGAAAATTTTGCTTTATTTATGAAACTTGCCTACATTCAAGTGTTGATACAAAAAGAATGCTTGAAGCTAGAATAAAACATGCGCTGCTGTCACTTTAAGACCTAATGCACGGATGTAATTTACTGATGTAAAAACTTTTTACATTTACACTAGGGCTGTCACTAACGATTATTTTGGTAACCGATCAATCTGACGATTATTCTGACGATTAATCGAGTAATTGGATAATTGTAATTAAAAAATATTTGTAGTAAAATAGACCTAAGCAACTAATAGCCTTTAAAATTACTTAAAATACTTATATAATAGCAATGAAGCAATAATTAGTTCAAATAAAGTATGAGAAGCAAGTAATCAGTTTTATTGAACAAAACTGTTGAAATACATAATGTAATTATATAATTATGCATTATAAATGCCTGCGCCAGCGGCCTGACGATTGTTTTTACACTTTACTGTGCAATCTAATCCTTGTTTATTATTGACTAAACAACATTTAATTCAAATGCCCACTTAAGCTTTAATGTTTGGCCATTTCTTTGACAGAAATGCTACAACCACTGTAATTTCTTGAATATGTGGACATCAAAACATGCGAGAACAGAGCGAGGGTTTAAACTTTTATTTTGAAGTCGTGATGAGCATTTAGCATGTTCAGAAAGATACTGATGTATTCTCCTGTGTTTGCATAGGTTTATAAATGATTAACCTTACAAATCTGATGAAATGGTGCACGTTGCATCCCCAGATGAACGTTATACACCTAAAGTCTCAGCAATATGCCGCTCCACACATGTAAATGATGACCGTTTGTGCGGAGCAGCATTTAATGTGAACGGAGACACATGCTTGTAATTAACTAAAGCGCATGTATTAAACCTGCATCACATATATTTATTTAACTGAATCGTAGCGTTTGTGAATTCACAATAGCATTATGCTTTATTATGATTTTTTAATGGGTTTAATATATCAAGCAGACGGTCTAATAATGATTTTCATGGATTCTCGTCTGTGGAATGCGCCACTTCCGGCATTTTGCCGATTACTCGACACGGACAAAATGCACTTGAGGATTTGTTTTTTAAAGTAGTCGAATTGAATCGTGACATGAATGTTGACTCTGTAAACAGTCACCCCAGTCTGCTGCTGCTGGTGCTTTAGACTCTCTCTCACACCATCATTGATCTTTTGATTGGTTTTCAGCAAATCCAGCATCCCACTGCCTCGTTGATCGCCAAGGTGGCCACGGCTCAGGATGACATCACAGGAGACGGCACGACATCCAATGTGCTGATCATCGGAGAGCTCCTCAAGCAGGCCGACCTCTACGTGTCTGAGGTTCTGCTCTTATTAAGTTAAAAGTCTTAATTTAAAAGGCATGTCCACCTTTTAAACCGTCTTGTTTCTGTCTAAAGGGTCTTCACCCCCGGGTGATCGCTGAGGGCTTTGAGGCTGCTAAGGACAAGGCTCTCGAGGTGCTGGAGGAGGTGAAGGTCATGAAGGAGATGGACAGAGAGACTCTCATCAATGTCGCCCGCACCTCCCTCAGAACCAAGGTCCACAGGGAGTTGGCCGATTTACTAACAGAGGTGAGAAACGTCGTTTGAAGTTCTGACCGTCCGTGACGAGCAATAATCATTTAAGTCCTAACAAGTTCATGAAGGGGTCATGAAATGGAAAATCTGTCCTTGATATTTACACACAGCTTGGCGATTCTCTCAGATCGCGTCTTTGAACAGTCACTCGCGTGAATGAGCTCTGATTTGTCGGCGAGGCTAAGATCATGTAGTGTGGACTCGGCATTAGTGTTGACTAGCACAGGTTCATTCATAACTTGATATCAATATAGGATCTGTCAAGTTTTATTCATACCGCTTTCTCTTTAAAACTGGTATTGAATACTAATATCAGCAGACCCTCAGAACAAGCCTATACGAAAGCTTAATTATGTGCCAGTTTGACAGAATAAAACGGAAAGGTTTTGTGTGGGCTAAGTCGTTTTTTTGAGTGGACACTTGCTGCAAGTGACAGAAAACGAATGCTTGCAAGGTCTGATGTTGACTAGCAGCAACAGTGCAGATGCATAGATATAGATAGATAGGTTGTTTTCCACCCTTCTGAAACACCAGAGTTTAATGTTGCTGCATATCTGTCCATCAGCCGCTGTGAGGGTAAGATGTCGGGTAAAACCATCTGAAATCGTGGATATAAACAGATTCCACCTCCAAAAACTGTGCAGATCCTTCTAAATGTCCTAGTGCATGACTGCTTTATTATTTAACTTCAAAAGCTAACCTCCAGAAACAATAGAAAGACTATACATTTCATGACCCCTTCAATATGATCAGTATTACTTGGATAGTTCCCTGGTACGTTCACATTCGGTTCACCTGTGACACATTGACATGCCTTGTTTACCTCAGGCTGTGGTGGATGCTGTTCTGGCCATCAGGAAACCCAACGAGCCCATCGACCTCTACATGGTGGAGATCATGGAGATGAGGCACAAAACTGACAGCGATACACAGTAAGATCTTCTCTTGTGTGGACATTAAGCTGTGCGTTCTATGGCTATCTTAGGAGTAGCTCGCCCTGAAATGAAAAATTGTAATCGCATAAAAAAACGGGAAATTCCTTCCTTGTTTCACAGCTGCAGTCATATGTTAGTCTTTTTTTTTTATGCTTAGACTGATCAAAGGGTTGGTGTTGGATCATGGAGCCAGACATCCTGACATGAGGAAGAGGGTGGAGGACGCTTTCGTTCTCACTTGCAACGTTTCCTTGGAATACGAGAAAACGTAGGCTTTGCAAATGTTCATGTTTATTTACAGTAGAATGATGGGCGTTTCTGTGAATTCTGAAACCTGTACCCGCTGTGTTTTCACAGAGAAGTGAACTCGTTAGTTCTTTGTCATTTATCTGGCCTTTTTATAATAGGGAGAGGAGAAATACACGTTCATTGAGAAGTGTGGTAACCCTCGTTCCGTGACGCTGCTGGTGAAAGGACCCAACAAGCACACCCTGACACAGATCAAAGACGCCGTGAGAGATGGACTCAGAGCCGTCAAAAACGCCATTGAAGATGGTAGGGAGACAAACATTACAACACAAAAAAATGCTGGGTGTAATGATTATAGTGAAAAGTGAGGAGAATATGCAGGTTCGTATTGAAGAAGAATTTTAGCAATCCTATCAAAGGGGTCATGATATTAGAAATCAAATTTCCCTTGAGCTTATGGCATATGAGGTCTTTGTACCATTGAAACATCCTGCATGTTTCAAAGCTTGAAATGTCTACCTCATTATAAACTGAGCTTTTAATTAACCAAGCTCCAAAAATGGCTTGTTTGGAAATTGTGGGATTTGTGACGTCACACAAGCAAATACATTTGCATATGACTGCATCCAGAGCAAGACACCAGGTTTGTTTGACTTGAGTCCGCTCTGCACAGACCAATCAGCATCTGGCTTGAAGCAGTGCATGCTGGTTAAAAATGTTCTCTGACATGAGACGGCACCAATGCCATTGTGACATATGCCATCAAAGTACCGCGAGAGAGGTTCTCGAGCCACTGGCTAGCTCATTCTGCACAGTATGACATGGCTGTTTAACGATTGACGAAAGCACTTTATAAATAAAGGTGACTTAACTTGACAGAGTCCCTCCCAATACATCCAGCCAAAGTCAAGCATGCCTATTATTGCACCATAGGCTCCACCCCCTGGCGTTCAGTTGCTTAACGGATCCGCCCACCGGCGTTCAGTTGCTTAGATATTTTATGTAGTATAGTTTCACAAAACTAAAATCAGACCATTCTGTTTTTGCTTCAAATTTCGACATTATACAGTCTAATTTAGATGAAAAACTACTATCATCTGATAATATTGTAACTGTTGTTTTAAAGGTCTCATATTGTCAAAACTGAAATTTCCTGGCTTTTTTCTCACTGCAGAGGGTCCATTGGTGAGCAAGTGATGCAATGCTACATTTCTCCAGAGCTGTTCCGAGGAAGAAACTCATCTGTGTCTTGGATGGCCTGACGTTGAGCAATTCTTTTTTTTTTTATAACCCTTTAATGCATACATTAAAAAAACTAATACATATGTCCAAATCACGACAGAAAATCACAGTTCTTAAGAGTTTTTCAAAAAAATCCTCGAGTACTGAACGATAGTTCGCTGTGTTCTAGAACACATGACATCACAATCTCACAGCAATTTGTAACTATTTAACATTTTGGTGAATTGGTGGCTAATTTGTAGCCTGTTTGTATGATTACATTTATGTAAAAGTGCTCGTAGTAGGCGAATCCTGCTTGAAGACCAAGCTGTGGCACGGAAACCTGTAGGCCGCTACCGCTCATCCACATTCAGCTGGTGTTTGTACTGGTCTGCAGAGATTTTCAAGAGAAGAGCAGAGTAGAGACTATTAGAGGAAAACATCACGGTTTACAGCGGCTTTTTCAACACGAGTCAAAGAATCCCACCAGCGGTGCTTTTCTCAGATCCTTCAGAAGAAACACGCTGTTATTCCCGTGTGGTGCAGCTCTGGATGCTAGTAATACAAATATACTATATTCTCAAAAGTCTGAGAAAAAGTGCGCATTCAGTATGGAAAACAATATTCTTAATAAAAATGTTGAATTTTTTTAAAAATCAATAAATGCAAATAAAGTACAACTAATAAAAGATATTTCAGAATTTTGAAGATTGCAATATAGATAATTAAGAATGCACCAATTTAATAATAAAAATGCAAATAGAACAAGCAAAGGTGGACCAAATATCAAGAAATTTGTTCATTTTTAATTTTCACTAAAATGTTACAGCATTAGTATAATTTCTTAATAAAATATAGCCAATATATTTTACATTATGTTCAAAAAATACATTTTTTTAAACCCAACTCAAACACAGGATTGGATTGATGTTTTAAAAAGTATATTTACGATGAAGAAAATGACATTCAGAAAGCTGTATTTGTTGATTTCTGGGCTAAATGGATTGAGAATAACTCCTGTTAACGAATACTTTTTATCATACGGGTGTTCTTTCAGGAGGGACCACCAAGCCCTTCTCTTTCGTGCTGAAACTGTTAAAGAGATTATTTTGAAGAGCTTGTCACTTGAGAAACTTATTGGTGTTTACTGAATATATTTGTATGATGGAGAAACTAAACGTGACAAATGAGCAGATGCCGTCAATATAGTGTCACATGATCTTCAGAAATCAGTATAATATGCTGATTATTAGAAACATTTCTGATTATTATCAATGTTGAACACAGTCGTGCTGCACAATATCTTTGTGGAAACATGAATAGAAAGTTCAGCGTTTATTTGAAATAAAACACGTTTTTATACACCAGCACTAACTGAAATACTCTAGTACTTAGTGAAGTCCTTTTATTAACTCTAAAGTTAATAGTTATTGCATCTTATCATACTAGTTCAAGAGAGGGAGAGGCTTTGGTTGTAGGCTATTCCAGGTAATAAGAGTGAATGCTTGATGTTAGAAATGATCATCCAACATAAATGATATTTTGTGTCGTTAAGCTTTTATCCCCCTATAAAACATCACGGTCCATGATAAATGCATCAATCAATCATATAGTTATTGAGGTTCT